AGGGAAGAAAGCATCACAGACGATGATCTGATCATATTGGAGAAAGAGGTGTGGTAGGAAGTTCTGAATAGAACTGGAATAAGGAATGTTTCCCCTTCCCCTACAAAGGGGCAGGCATAACCGGGACCCCAGATGGGTACTTTTTACTAGGAGAATGTGAGATAAATTCAAGGAGAAATTGTTCAAAGTGAAGATCAGCTTGGCCAGGTGAAGGAAGGTGATGGTGAATAAGGACCATTCAGGCCTTCTCTCCAGGAAGAAATAAAGAGACATTGGACTATCCTGATGGAGGATGAACGTGTAGAAAGATTACATGTCCATGGTGAAGAGGAGGAGGCTGAGGCCAGGAAACTGGAAGTAGCAGAATTGACATAAAGCATCAGAAGAATCCTGAAAGTAAGTGGAAAGAGACTGGATAAGGATAAACACAGAGAGTCAAGATAGGAATAAATAAGCTCAGTGTGGCAGAAATTGAAATTGGACAGACAAGTGACCAGAAGGAGGGTTCCAGGTGGAAGGAGGTATCAGAGACAGGTGAAAAAGCTCAGTAGAACAAAGACAAGATTTCTGCCTAATAAATGGGACTGGAGGGGAAGGTGATGGAAAAAGAATCATTGAGGTGGGGACATAAATATATAAACTGAGTCCTTTAATGAACACAGATTATTCAGCATCCGAGTGTGGAAGGTCAGAGGGTATAGTGGATTGGGTTGAATTGAGTTTTATGTGGTTCAGTGTAAAATAACCAATGAGAGCAGCTACCAAGAAAGGAAATGTGTCAAATTGAAAATTCCAAATGATTCAAATAATGGTTCTAGGGACAATAATTGATAAATCCATTATGCATAATTGAAATATTTAAAACTGCAATTAAAAAGGGCACGTAAGAAAGTTGATTCAATTAACAGTGATAAAGGGCCAAATTTATAAATCATCACAGAAGCAGAGAGGTTTTCAACTTCTTATGAGCAGCCATTGTCTTCATACTTGAACCTGCATCTCAATTTTTCATTCTGAGATGATCATAAGTGAGAGTTTCTGGGGATGGCAGCTGCCCACAGCAGCACATAGACTATTGGTGAATTAAAAGCCCTATTCATGTTACTCAGCAGAAATTGACTGGAATTTTCAGTTCAGAGTGTTGAGAGCCCACTGAGGCCGAAACATGGCCAAATGATGGAGCTGGCCTAAAGCACAGTAGACCTGGCTCAGGAGGGTTGCCAAAGCCCTGTCTGTGAGAAACCTGTGTTGCTGCTGCTGCCAGGAGCATTGAATCATAGAAACGGGGTATAGGCCATTCAGCCCCTTGGGCTCTCTCTGCCATTCCAGATCATTGCTGGCCTTTTACCTCAGTACCATTTTTCCCATTCTGTCACCACATCCCTTGATGTTGTTAGGGCTCAATAGATTTCTCGATACTATCTTGCGTGTAATTGATGACTGAACGTCATTGGCCTCTGGGGCAGAGAGTTCCAAAGATTCACTACTTTAGAAGCGAAAAAATTCCTCCTCATCTCAGTCTTAAGTGGTTTGCTCCCTTTCCAAGGCTCCTCTACTGACTGTAAACCTTCCCAAGCCCAGGGGAAGCCAGCTTCCTGCACCAAGCCTGTCTAGTAATTTAAGAATTAAATGAGGCCTCCTCTCATTCGTCTAAACTCTACTCAATACAGGTTGTCTCCTCACATAGGACAGTCTTGTCAGCCCAGGAATTTGATGATTCTGTGCTGCTCCCCCTATTGGAAAGGTATATTGTTCATTATGTATGGGGACCAAAACTGCACACAGTACTCCACATGCAGTCTGTCATTTGAAGCCAGGCTGTATTCTTGCAATAAAGACGGGCAAGCTATTTACTTTTCCAATTGCTTGCTCCATCTGCACGTGAGCCTTCAGTGAACAAGGAAACCTAGATAATTCTGGACTTCAACACTTCCCTGAACACTCACCATTTAAGAAATGCTTATTTTCCTACCAAAGTAGATGACGTAAAATGTATCTATGTTATCTTCCATCTGCCATGGTCTTACCCGTTCAATCAGCCTTTGAATCCCCTTAAACCCTACTTACATCATGGTGCAATGCACATTCTCACCTAGGTCAGTGTTATCTACAAACTTTGAAGTATTACTTTTGATTCCCACGTCCAAATCATTGATAGACTGTGAAAAACTGGGCCCAAACATTGATTCTTGTGGTACCCAACTAATCCAAGCCTGCAAACACGAAAATAACCCATTTAGTCATACACTGTTTACTTTCCAATAATTAATCCTCAACTCATGCTGGTAAATCACCCTTTTTCTCATTTGCTGTAATTGCTTTTGCTAAACTACTTTGTGGAACCTGAAAGCGTTTGAAAATCTAATTGTGGCACATTGACTGGTTTCCCTTACCTACTCTGCTAATAACATTCAAAAAGAATTCTAACAAGTTTGTCATATATGTTTCTCCCCTTCATAAATCCATGTTAACTTTGTCTCGTCAGATAATTATTTTGAGTGTCCAGTTTCCACATCGTTTATAATAGTTTCTAGCACTTCCCTACTCCTGATCTCAGGTTACCAGGCCTATAATTCTTAGTTTTTCTCCTTTCCTCCTTTCTGAAGCAGTAAGGTTACATTTGCACCATTCCAGACTCTCTCTACAATTTTGACACATGACCACCAATGTATTCGCTTTCAGTATAGTCACCTTTCAGCACTCCACATGTAAACTATCGGGTGCCTGGAATTTGTCAGCTTTCAGTTTTCACAATTTCTTTGATCCTATTTCATTTTTGCGAATACTAATTTCTTTTAGTTCCTCGGTTTTAACCAATCTTTTGGATCTATATTTCTGAGATCTTCCTCCTTGAAGACAGGCACACAGCAATTATTGAGCTTCTGTGCTATTTTGTAATTGTCCATTATAAATTTTCCTGTCTTTGTTTGTAATAGACCCACATTTGTCTTTGCTAATCTTTTCCATTCTGTATACCCATAGAAGCTTATGCAATTTGTTTTTGTGTTCCCCACTAACGGAGATATTGCTCTGCTAGGATGAAGTCTTGGCAGCTGGGGCTTTTTTTAATACTCTACATTCTTAAAATCTCTTCTGATTAAGTTCCTCTATCTTGAGGCACCCTCTTTTTCTTCAGGCAGTGCTGTTGCCAATATATAATTTCTGGAGGACCACTCATAAGCTATCCTTAGTTGAAGGGTGAGTGCACACTCTGCTCACTAATTGTCCTGTTCATCAAAAATCAACTTGGAAACAGGCTAGTTTGTGAATCTGGAAATAGATCAAATGTCGGGCTCCTGCCCCAAATAAAAATTCAGTTTGAAGTATTAGACAAAGGATTATGTTGCATTTCTTGACCTATTTGAATCTAGAGGTAACACAGGATAACTTATTCATTGGAACAAAGTTATTGCCTTTAAGAGATGGTTCTGGACATAAAAACATTAAGTTGTGATAGAAGGAGGAGTTGTTTCCTTTAGAAATAGTTATTTCAAAGGTTCCTGTAGTGTTTGGAATCAGGTAGTCTCATTGACTGAGATCCTTGATTGGGGTTGTTAACCTGGGCAAATCAGGCAGCCCTGGCTGACAGGTATAAACAGAGGATTCAGAGAGATTCCTGATTTAAGGGACTGAGTCCGAGGTGGCTGGTCAAGGGTGACTTGGTGACAGGATACCAGCCTCTGTGCAGCTCCTAACAGAAGCTTAAGAAGTCGTGACCAAGTTGATCCTGGCAAACTGCTCATCATGTTGTCAGGTCAAAAGCTGGCAGCAAAATTTTAAAATTATGAAATAAGGAGCAAGAAAGGGAGTAGAGTTTCACCTGACTGGTAAGAGGTCTGGAGCATGTCAGTAGGGAAGGCTGTGGAACAGTAAATTTAAAAGACAGAGTGGAATGTAATACTCCCATCCATAATATGTTTTGCTGGGCAGAGACGTTCAACTGGGGATCAGTAGGTGGGGATTCACAACCTTATCACCTCTGCCTGATTAAGTCCATGGTGGAAAGGCCCATGGAGAGCCTTTCTGCCCTGATCACCAGTTGAGGTGAATAAATAAGTAATTAATGCCCAATTAATGGGCTCCTCCTGATACTGTTGGTATTAAACCAGTTGCAGACAGAGGTCTGACCTTGCAGTGAGCATGAGAAGCAAAGCCATGTGCAACAGTATTTATAGGGTGCTTTGGGGTTGTCTCCTGGTCAAAGATCTGACATTGGAAAGTGGCAGGGAGTGGCACTGAGAATCATCCACTTGCCCTTCGCGTCTTCACCAACCCGCCGCCAGTGACCTCCAGCCTACAGAATCCAGCGGCAATACCAGGCCTTTAGCAGACACTGCATTGATAGCAGCCACTGTTACTGTAGTGGAATAGCTGTTCTGTAAGCTGCCAGCCTCTGATTGCTGCAAGGTTGGTCTCTGTTTTCCTCCAGGAAATACTGTTGCTGTCTGGGGATAGGACCTAGTTGCAAATAGCTGCAGAAAGTCAGAAGTGGGAAGTTTGGTTGAGGGAAGGGAGTTGGGGTAGAAAACAAGAGGCCTATGATCAGATTTTTTGGCATTCTAAATAGCAGGGTGAAGGTGAGGTAAGAGTTTATGTGGGCCTATGTTATCATCCTCAGTATTTTCAGTGATGTTGGAGCCACAGACTCTGTCATTATCGGTCCCAGTGGTGCCGAGAGCCATCTCTGGTGTAAAGGACAGCAAGGGCAGGTATCCTTATCCCCCCATCCCTGAGCCTACATGAAACTAGTTCAACACAAAATGTTCCAGTCCTCTATCTGGAAACTTCTGTTTGCACTACTACATAATTAAATGCGATTTTTCACTTGTCCTAGATTTTGTTAATTTTTAAAATATTTTGTTCACTACTTTTGTTTAAGAAATTCTAGTACTATATGATGCAAAATTTCCAAGGTTTTTCAAACAATGACAGTCCTGTCTCTATGGAAGTGGCCAGAAAACAACCAGTTTAAATTATACCTTTGTTTACTTTTTATTTAGAATGAATCTAGAAACATTGAGATGCTGGCAGCTGCTTGTGCTGTCGGAGTTGGCTGTTGCTTTGCTGCACCAATAGGAGGTAAGAATATTATGTTTCTCTCAAAGTGTTGAAAGGAATCGAAAATGCATGTACTTCTTTACAAGATACTGCAGACCCACGTAGGCAGTGTCAGTTCTGGTATTCATATTCAAATTTCACAGATTTAGAAAACACGATTAATTCGTGAAATTGAAATTTGTCTTCATCTTCAGGGTTAGGTTGCTGTGGCATTTGATTATCTCAGGACTCCTCTTACAAGAAACAATCCATTTAAGATTCGTTAGGATTAAAATTCAAAGGTCCATTTTTACGTTAAAACATCTGCCAAAAATTTAACATATTTTTGTAGAACAAAGGAAAACATATTCCATGTTAAATGTTAAAATATATATATGGCAAGATATTGAAATGAATTAAAAGTGATTAAAATAAAACAACACAAAATAGCGTACTGAAATTGGAGAAGGTTGAGATTTGTAACCATTTTTCCCATCTCCAACACATCCTGTCCTGGTTTGTATGTAGATCGTGTTATAGATCGATGAGTTACTTGTGCTCTGCAAATAACCATTGAATCACTAAAACTGAATGAGTAACAAACTGTCAAATATGGATGTAACAGAATACTTCACCAGCCACTTTGCAAATTCATTAAAAGACATAGTATATCTTGGTTACAGGTTAATTAATATTTTGATTTTGACAACAATTCGGAATATATAATTTTAATTTTTTTGAAAATAGCATTGATTTCAGGTCCAAAAACACATTTGCTTGTCAGTATTTCTCTTTGGCTGCTAAGTGCAAAAATAGGCTGAAACTGTAAGCAGCTGCAATGA